TGTGTGTGTGTGTGTGTGTGTGTGTGTGTGTGTGTGTGTGTGTGTGTGTGTAAGGCTTGTATTATTCCAAGTCTAATGTTTGTAGAGCATCAATCCCAAGTATCCACTTGACCAATTTAAAAAAAAACCCACCGCCTTGTTTAGACAGACCACAGCTTCGCCAACCAACCACTGCATTCAAAAAGTTTGATTTTTGTTTTATTTACTGGTAGGCCCTGTGTCCGTCTAGGTATCCCTTATGTTGTGTAAGAACATTCCTGCTAAATACAGACACACCTTCCTGGGTTTTTGTGTTTGGCAACAGGTGTAACAGTCAATTGTGACTCATCGAAGTAATCATTATCATATCCGAACTCCGCAGAAGTGGAACGAATGAACAGAATGCGTTATGGACTAGGTTATAACGCTACAGCAGTATGGATGTTGTGTTGAAAAAATAACGCGTCACAAGATGTAACATACGTAGTTAGAAGGCAGAAGGGAGCACAGAATACATTTTTTCCCTCGTTAAAGCCCCCTAAATTTACGCTATTGTTATAGCGTAGAGAACTTTGAGGACCCCAATACTTGTGACCATTTAGCTTTAATAGCGCACAACAACACATTTTGAGTATTCATTGTTCTGAAATGCATCTATAAATGGAAGCTGCTCATGGGTGTGTCTTCAAAGCGGGTGTGGGAGGGAGGGGGTATTTTTCAACTATTGTACAATTGGGCATGTTTACTCGTCTTTTTTATGTCTTTTATTTATTTGCTTTCAATGATCTGCTAGGACTCTTAAGAAGTTAATAACATGCCCTATTGAGAATGCTTTCAGTGTGTGAAGAGGAGGCTGTTCAAAAACACATTTTTACGGTTTGGCCAGATTTGAGTTACAGACTATAAAAACATAAAGTTAAAAGAAGCCCAATTATTTCCGTGAAAACCTAGGAGAGCTTGGCTGAGGGTGGGAGTATGAGGGGGCAGAGGGAGGGGGGGGGGGGGGGGGGGTTACTCCAGGATGGACCAGTGAAACAATTCATAAATATCTTACTCGGACCTCAAACCTTTGATCTCTCTATTAAATTGTAAGCTATTGCGCCACAGTTCACGCTCATGCTGTCAGCCCAGTTGTTATTACAGTTGGCTATGGTTCAAAACCCAAATAAACTATTCTTGAACTTGGCTAAGTTTTCAAATCCCTCCATCAGCTTGGTTTGGTTGTGTCAAAGATGCATATCGACAAGGACAGAAATGGTAATTTGGAAACAGCACGCTGGCAAAGGGAGTCATTATAAAGGGGGCACACAACAACAAATTAACACTTAAACTTTCTAAAACATAAAAAACCTACAAAGACATAAAAATGTATTAGACGGTCGTGTTTTCTGAATCAGTTTTCTTTCGGTGTATTTTGCTCATATTTACCTTTCTCAATGGGCCTTGAACCCCGCTTTAACAATGTACTATGTGTGTGTTTGTGTGTGTGTGTGTGTGTGTGTGTGTGTGTGTGTGTGTGTGTGTGTGTGTGTGTGTGTG